GACTAAAACTCAAGATGTAAGTAACGATGTTTAGTAATTTGTCCTGTATTTAATTGTGAATCAAAATGTTAACCCTTAATAAATACAAATAAGGGAAAAGGATGGCAGTTATCAAAATTATGAACACATTTATTTGAAGATAGAAAGCTTAAGGAACAGTCAAATCAACATAGTTTGCATGCTTTAGCTACATATTATATAATAATTAAATTTAAAGTAGTACAAAGTTAATCATCCAACTTTTATCCTGGCATTTTAATATTATTAGTTAGAGATGAGGCCAAATAATGTAGAGAAATGTAGTAAAATATAGATTTCCATAACCAGCTGGATCTTTTTGAGATCCAAAGCAAATTATATGTCAAGGTTATTAACCACTTGTTTAGTGTTGCTATATATGTTAAGAATTTTCCAAAGTGATCAAATATTATACCCTGATGCTGGTATTACTTTCCTTAAGGGTATCCAAAGTGTTATTTAACTGCCGTGTGATTCTTTATAAGCTTAATTTCCAGATTAATTGTTGTTCATCTATTGAGAATTTTTTTGCAAATTTATACAAAGAGATTTTTAACATAGTATTCTCCTTTTAACAGTTAGTTATAATTTAAAAGGCCGGTATTAAACTTATCCAAGTTAAATTGCAACATTTGCCATCAGATGCACTGATCCAGTAAAAGTGTAATATTGATCTTATTAAAGTAACCTCATGGTGGCTGAGTAGTAGTTATATGTGTAGTTTGGAATACTGCAAATTTATCTTCACTTTTCTGTTAGCCATTTTTTAACATCATAATAGAAGCATTTAGAGTGATGTTACGAATTTATCATAAATGCTGTTTAAGTACCCCATTCAAAAGAATGTATAAGCAAACTAAATTTGATGTTTCCCTTCTTTCGTTATTTGGTACATCAAAGGCTTGAATAAATGGTGCTGCTAACTACTTCTTACATACCAACCAATTCATCAATGTGACTTCTATTAAACTTGTTGTCATACAAGTTGCAATAGCTCATTAATTTCTACTATGTACTGGATGTTTCAGTTTAAGAATATGTATGTTGAATTTCTCATATAGTATAGTATGGTATTATTAAATTGCCCTAATGAAAACTTACTGACTGTTTTGCTTTTCTATTTTTGGTTTTTTCCTTTCTTTTTTTTCACATCCACTATAAAATTTCTTTCGGAATATTATAAACTCTACTGAAGTACTCAATTCCAAGGTCGAATATATATGTATATCAAAGATTTTCCAATAACAACCATCCATCAATGATATTCTCATACATGTTTTTGTTAGCTGATGAAATTGTTACTAATGTTGATTAAAAGGCTGATAATATTTATACTATGTGTTTCATTTTATATTCTTTCTGCAAATTATGTGACATGATATAATTAAGCCATCCAGTCTTGGTGAATCATGGTTTTATAAATTTCAACAAAATTAAATGTATTGCACTTCAAAATGTGGAAGCCACTTGTGAAAATAGAATGAAGTGATCCTTTTTTTCCTCATGGTACTTACTCTTAATAGCTAGAATATTTTTTATACAAGGCTAAAGCACCAAGGTATTAAAGCAACTAAGAAGCTTCATGGGTCACTTAATAATTTTTTTTTTTTGGTTATGCCAGTTCTACTTATATAGTTTCTATTATATTATTGAAGGAAAAATGGACTTGGGTCTTTTATACTTTTGATGTAATTGTTGATTCATTCTGCATCAGTTTGATTCAATTAGCATTCTATAATGTAATTGACAGAAATAAAATGCAACTTATTTGAAATTGTAACTACATCCATTACTGTAATTTGAACTCTGACTTTAATGATTAATCATGTTGAAATGGGAGATTTGTTAGGGTCACTAAATTTAATAGCTTGCACAATTGATAAAAATAAAAGATGTTCGAAAAGGATATGAGCTCTTATTTAATTTACTTCATATAATTCATGAACATTGAATAAACGTTGATGCTAAACTAAAAGTAGCTTTAGATACAGTGGCTTCATGTTAAACAAATATAGGAGAAGGCTAAAATTGTGTTAAATTAAAAACAATTAAAGGCACATTCATTACATTGGAGAACATACGAGTTGAGAATTCATTCCACTAAAGAAATTTAAGGAGCATTTTATGAAGTAGAAAAGTAACCTTGCAATAATATCACTATTCCAAGGCATTCCTATGAAATCTGAAAATTACAGATGAATCAAAGGGTGAGCTAGCGATTATCATTTTTAAATATATATATTTGGAAATTAGACCTTTAGTATCAAGCTATGTCTTACTGATATTAAGATGTAGCTTATAAAATCCTAATAACTAGAGTTTATCTTGAAGTAAAATCAGTATGCTTTGCATAAAGAATAAGAATTCGTCATCATAAATTAATATTAGTTTTATGTGTCATCAATATAACAAGGAAAATGTCTTTCATGGTATAAGAAGCAGCATCACATTCAATGACTCAAGTAACACTTGAAAAATTATCAGAAAGATATTGACAGTAATTTTATTCCAAAGTTGCCTAATTGGATTACTTTACACTAAGATATGTCATTAAAAAGGCAAATCCCTTTGCACAATGCTATCATATTTGATACATCTAATGTCTGTTTCTGGAATTTGGGTGGCAATAAAAATGGTGGTGCAATGCTATGTTGTTCAAATAACGAATTAACATAGCAACATGTGCTTAACCAAGATCTAAACCTGACACCTCTCCTAGCTCCATATCATTTCTTTATCTGTAAAACACACCCTAAAACCATCACACATACTAAAATCGTATAAAGGGTTGCTGCAAATCTATTCATTTAATAGAATTGCTAGAATGCGAGAATAGCAACTAGTTTATCAAGGTCTGTAAACTGTTACATATTGACCGAAAAAGAAACTTGGAAGTTAACATGCACTTCATTTATAGGAAAATTTATAAAAAAACGTTTTACAAGCAACTTTTTGAGTGATGATATATGAAATATAAAGATACATTACGAATCTAATAGAAGGTATCAGCAATGAGATGAAAAGCGTGAAAGCGAATTAGTTTGATCACGAATAATTTATTTCTGAGTTGCAGTTGATGAAGCTGATTAATAGGATATTTGATGCTCATCCAGCTAATTGCAATTGATGACCTAAGCTAAATACAGACAGGTGGTTTGTTTCATCCTATGAAGGATATATTCATTATATGCAATCTGATTGATGGATACTCCAAAACTTTCTTATCGTATTTTCCCATAAAGGTGATTGAATTCTTTATATAGAATAATAAAGGAGTGAAATTGAGGTCTAGGCTAACTTCATTCTAAAATTTACTAAAATGAAAACTGAAACTTGGTAAATTTTTTGATTAAATACAAAAATACTGCTTTCTAATTATTCAGCAAATAAATTGAAGTTGATTGCAAATTGCATTCCAATTTTAAATTAATGAGGATATTTTTCTTTATTCTTTCAGTAAAAATTATATCAGCTTTAGTTATTAATTAATTAGAGATGACTTGTTCAAAATTAAGCCAATTATATAATCAAAATGCGTATAAGGTCAAAAACTAAGTGCTAGTAAGGCTTATCTAATTATAAAGAATATTTAATTAGAATTTCATCTTTATGGGCTTGGGAATGAATAATATCATATACAACTGTTATTTAGGAAGCAATATAAGAAAATAATTTTTATTGCTCAAATCTACCTCTTTCATTCAAGAAATAATTTCCAAAAGATTTCAATACTCTATTAAAAGCACTCACTTTTAAATTTATTTGCAATGATTGATAATAATTATGGATCAAATAATTTTATTAATAATTTTATATGAAGCATCTCTTCTTATAGATATGAATAGAATTTTAATTTCCATGTGAAGATTATAAAGATACATATCATAAAATAATAAAGCAATACTAGTCTGAGTTTAATAAGCTAATAACTTGATATTTTTACATACTAGCAAAAATTATAAAGCTAATTCATGATTCAGGTGAATTCCATTTTGAAATCCTTATCTTTTTTTTTAAACTAGGTTCTAATAATTAACAATTTTACTTCAAAACTTCTCATCAATTTTTACTAATAATATTTTCCCTTTGAATTTACGTTACAAAAATTGAGAATATAAACACCTAACTTTATTAATGTTAAACTTTTTTGGCTATTAATCATCTAATTGATATTAAGTTAAATCTTCAAGATATAAATATAACAAATCACACTAGCAGAATATAAATCTGCCTTAATTCTATTGTAAGAAATTCTTTCAAGAATAATCCAAAATATTATTGGCATAGCATCTTTTTATATAACTACTTACCTCCATAAGTTTTTAATCCATAATTAGCAAATTCGAAATGAAACAGTTCTATTATTATTATCAAGGTTTAAAAAATAAATAGCTAGTTGTTTTTCTTAAAGCTATAAATTCTTCTGAATTACAAAGATATTTTAAAGCTTAATTTGATGATTTCAATGTTTCAATTAAAAATTTGTTTAATAAAATAAATAGTAAGTTAGTTTTTATTAGGTGCATCTGAATATCAAACTGACTCAGAGATATTTAAGTTAATGATAATTATTGAAGCTTGGTTTTAAAAACTCCATTGAGTTTTTTTTGTAATAATCAATGAAAGAATTATATAATAATTAAAATGAAAATAAAAGCTTTGAAAGTCCCTCGATTATAGTGGTATAAACTTATTGCTGTTCTGGCAAATAATGTAGAAAAATGTCTCATTTCTTATGTTAACACAGAATAGAATATTATGCAACATAAACAGCTCTTTAATGAAACATAAATTGCCAAATTTTGTACTTGGGGCGATTTCTTATATACGAAAAATTCTCAAAAAAACAGCTACAATGAAATTGCTCTATTTTTGTAGCTAATATGAAATCCTAATTCACGATCATGAGCCTAAGAATAGGATGCACAAGGGATAGAATATATCCAAGAAAAGCAAGAATATATAAACTTGGAAAAAAATAAATTGCTAGGTCTGTAAGAGCGTATTGAACTATCGTTTGAACGATGATGTCCAATTAAAATAAAATATAAGAGAACAAAAGTATATATATATATTTATATACACATATCTATTTCCTGAAGCATAGGTTAAATATTTCCTACTCGAAAGATCAAAAAGTGAACAATATGTTCCATCATAGCCATAAGTACATGAATGGATTTTTAATAATTGTCTTAAGGTAGCGGAAGGCTGACATCTAAAAATTTCAGTTGTTTCACCTAATGCTATGCCAGTATTGCAAAATTCTATAAGATTTGTAAAGAGTTTTTCTTAAGACAAAAGGCCAAAATATAGACCTCCTAAGTTAGAGCAGCTAGTAGGGCCATAAGTTTAGAAGGAATCTAGGTTCATATTATTGTTCAAGCTTGGTAGCAGTACATGTAGTGCATTCATCTAATCTGTTATCACAAAATATGTCTACATAACAAGTTGGTTAAAAAGAATTAATATTAAAAGAATTCAAACTAAATGATATCTTTTTCAACAACTGTATGTTAGAATTCTAATTTATTTAGATCGATTAAAAATAATTATTATTTTATCATTATTATTAGTTTAAACACTATCATTTCTTTTCTTATCAAAGCAATTTCTGATTGCTCAGAATAAAATATTCGAATTTAATGTAAATTGCTTATGAAAAGAGGATTAGTTGACTAGTCCATTTGATGTTGAACCTGTTCCTTATTTAGAAATAATCATCAATATATTATCTTTAGTAGTAGAGTAAATAATACTTAAAATAATCATTGGATATTTGTTCTATTTAATAAAAAATATAGGATTTCAGTTCTTCAGAATAATTTAGATAATACCCAGTCTTTTTCATTGTAATATACAACTTTGACTTCATAAAGTCATCAAGATACTTGACTATAGTAAGATTCAGGAGATTATTATATAAGTATTTTTACTATTGTAATTATCAGTATATTGCAATTATCATCGTCTATATAATTTCCTTGGCTTTAGAAACTTGATTCCATATAATATTTATATCAAAGATGAGTAGATTGATTCCATAATTCTAAATAACTTTGAATTAGAATCCTTAATTGAAAATGGGAAAATTGATTGCTTCACTATAATATTTGCTGATTCAGAATTCTTGCCCGACTTACACAATCCCCAATATAAACCTTTTTTTTAATCTTGATGCTAAACATTAATAAATTCGATTATTTATTTGATAAGTTAGTGCAAAATTAGCTCAAGTAAAAACCTTTTATCTTATAAATATATATATGATTTTCTTGAGACTAAAATTCCAACATCACATCTCCAGCAATCAACACTAAATTAGTATTATAGTTAATTTAAATTGGCATCATCTTTATGAAATTTTTATGTTGCTCGTGATTAAAAGAAGACCTTTCTTCTAAACTATCAGCTGTCTTTCCATAACCATTATCAAGTGCAAAGTGAATTTAGCACACAAGCATTTAATGGCAAGCAGTATACTAGCATATTAAAATAAAAAACAATAGATGTAATTTTTTAACCTGCTGAAAATAGTATTTGGATTTATGGGAAAATCAGTACATAACATATCAGCTCTTATGTAATCTTTTCATGTCTACATAAACCTCCTCTATACTCTCATAAATTTTTCCAATATCGGCTATTCACACTTATTTTGATAAACTAGCTTCAGCATTGACGAGAATTTGGCTGAGTTGACTCGGTATTAATCTCAATTCTATGGCCACTTAGGGTTCTTAATAATGAAGAGTGTCTGTCAAAGCCAGGGGAATTCTAAGGTAAATTTTCATTTTGACTTGATAGGTATTTCCCTGTACGATTAAAGTTCCTTATCCCTTTACCTTTTCTTCGTCAGAAATCGAAAGTAATTTAAATATTTTAAGTTGCTAATTTTAATAAAAACGACATCAACAAAAATTTGGATATCCATTTACCTTTCCAAATGGAATAAAACATTAAAAGGCAAAGGAGGAAGATAACGATTTTCCTGTTGTAATTTCAATTTATTTCTAGTCCTTAACAAACTATATTCATGTTCTATAAATAGACAAATATACACTATTTATTTGATCATTGAAGTCCTAAGTTATGTACAATCCTAAAATTCATATTTTAACAGGGTACATTTTGACTTATTTAAGTAAAAAATGTATTTTAAAATGCACATTAGTTAAGATCACTGATTAGATTTAATGAAAGAATTATGTTTTGATGAAAGTGTTTTTTAAGAGAAATTTGAACTCAATTTAATTGGTTTCATTCAAAATCATCTTTTGACAAAATATGTTCTGTTAGATGACACCTTAAACATATTTATTTTTCTATTCAACCTTGATTAAAGTATTAATATTAATTTTAAATATAAAATATTGAGAAGAAATTTCTTCCATAATCAATGTAATTCAAAATCTTTGAATTTATTAAAATTAATCAAGTTTTGTTTTCAAAGTAGATTAAACTTATGAAAGTAATTTGAAAACAAATAACGATTCCGTATAGCAAAACTCAAATTTAAAGTTAAATTTTTAAATATTAACAATTATATTCCTTTCTGTTAATAATATTTCATAATGGTATTTAAAAGTCAATATAATCAGAATTAATACCCTTTAATATTCATTGGGTTAGTTCATAAAGTCTAAGTTTATCATCTATTGATTAATATTTGTTAATTTTATATTGATGCCTCTACAAATTAATATTCATGAAATCTTTTTCAATTAAATTAGCTATAATGATCAAAAAAATATGCGATTAATGGGATAATAATACAATAATAATCACATCATTTATGAAATGAAAGCACAAAATATACATATTAGTAGGCAAAATATGGAGGAAACCGAAGTTCTCAATAACATAACCAACAACATGCTAAGCAATAAAATAATCGATAATAACAAGATAATAATTTGCGCTTGTAATAATGGCATTAAAATTATTGATTTCAGCAAGAAAGTATTGAAGCAAATAATTTTCATTAATGAATATTTAGTGTATGTTGATAACTTAATATTCATGGATCAATCTAATGCATTTATATTTTCTAGAGGCGATAATTGAATTATTATCTGTTCGCGTACCTCGTATAACACTTATATCAGCCAGAAGAAATTATTTGGTCATTCATGATTTCTAGTTGGAATGAATAAAGATTTGGAATGTTGGAAAAATTTGCTTAACATTGTAATTTTGTATTTGTTCTTATCTAAGACGAGTCATCAAACAATTTAATATCATACAAATATCATATATTCATTTAAGTATTCAGATATTCCAAAGTGCATAATTAATTGATCAAAGTTTGAAGAATTTAAAAGAGACAATATGTTTAATTTTGTTTTACTTTTGATAATTATTTATCGTTTTAACCCCTTTTCAGCAACCAAAAGTCTATTTTCAACAAATTTAACTAAAATTTACATATTCTCTATTATTATGGAAGATCTGATTGTAGAGGTCACACTTCATAAAGCATCTTAAATTGTCTACTTTAAATAATTAAATCATCTGCGCTTTAACTCCCTTTAATATAAGGATAGTTTGATTAGCTGAAATATTCTTCTCTGGCTTTGTAAATTTGGATTTCAAATTATTTATGTGCTTTTGAAGCTTATACAAACAAAGATTTTTATATCTACTTTGTGGTACACAAACATTGCTTGCCTACCCTAAATTGTTGAATTCTTATACCCTAAAATTACTATACTCATCTATTCCTAGCTTAGCAGCTGCAAATTTCAATTAAGCTAAGAAAAAAGTTTCATAAGGGTTTATACCACAATAGAAAATTATACGCTATCTGAAAAAAAATAATTGCATCTACAATAAAGCCTATTAACTATTTTATATACATTAAAATGAAATCTAAATAGGTTTCTTCTATTTCTCATTCTGTAATCGAAAGTTTCTTTCAATTGTGTAAATAACCAATAGGAATTGCTACTTTTTAATGATCTTTCAAAATTAGATATTAAATCTAAGGCCATTTAGTGAGTTATTCAAAAAATTGTGATTTTCAATTGTGGTTTAAAACTCACTATCAGATGATTCTATTCAGTACTGAATCAATGCTTCTAATTTGTTAATTGTTATAATGATTTTTATTAATTTAATATTGGATCAATAAATTCAAAAATGATTTTTACAGTACCTTAATGAGCAGAATCTTTGTAAAGAGATCTTTCGAATTGTAGAGAAAACTATCAAATTCATGGCCTTTGATACTTTTTACCAATATCTAAAGAGTTGATAGGTATAAAAAGCAGCCTTATCTTTTTTCTTATTTATCCTAATTTTTGAGTTATAAATAATCACCCTGGTATTCTTAAGAGATTGACTCATAATAAGATAGAGCTGAATAGGCGTAATTTATTTAAATATTTGAATCTAGTTGTCTATCTGATTGAATTTTTTGTGTTAAAATTATCACATGCTCAATTACTTCGCTACTACTTGTTGACAGAAATATAATTTTGGTTTCTGTAAATGATAATATATGAACTCAAAGATCAGTTATTGGTGGCCGAAAATTTTAATCAGGTAAACTTATTACAATTTACAAAATGCGAAGAAAATACTATGTTGTATTGCACACAAATTTGTTGAAGAATATTGGTTCAAACTGGCTTGACAACTTCTTGAATCATTAATATCATTTTTAAAGAACCCAATTCTAGAGTGATTTTTAGAGATTGGTTTTTTTTTAAGGAGTATTAACGAGTAATTTCTTGAGTAATCAGATTTTCATTCCTTAAGTTTAGCATATCACAAACATTTTTTATCAGTATCGATTAATGGTCTATTCTTATGGTAATTGTAATAAATTGTTTCCTAAAATATAAGAAATTAACAGATTGTAATAAAGGAGAAATTTAATTTATACATTGTTCTTTGTAATGGATTAGATTTTGATAGTTGTTAAGTTTAAAGATCCTATGCTTTGAGACTAAAGGTCTTATATCGATCGTTCTTACAGATTCAAAAATAATTTCAAAAGCACAAATAATTTCAATTTTGATTAATCTTATGCTTTAAGAATTAAATTATTATACATTATATCAATTAAATTAAAAATTCATATATATTAAATTTAAGTCCAGCTTTATTCCAAGTTACCAAATATCTTCCATCATCTGTTAATGCTCAAAAAAGGAAGTTTGATTCATATGTTATCTACGTGATAATTGTTAATTTTCCTTCTTTTGATATTTAATCACAAAACCATGACATTCATGCCGAACAATAATTAAATTCTTCTTATTTTGTCTTTAAAAATTGGAGACAAATTCATATCTACATCATTAGGATTTTGAATTAATCTTAGTTCATTTTATAAATTTTCTTAGTATTTTAATTATTTAGTTCAAATTTACTGATGCAATCCTTGCTAAATTTGCTAAATTAAAGAGAAATTATTGTTAAAGTATGTCCACTAATTTTGTTAATCTCATTCATTTTACCTTATTCAAAATTCCATATTTAAATATCAATATCAGAGGCTGAAATCATAAGAGATCAAGATTAATTAAAAGAAATTGCATAACATCTTTTGATAGCTTAATTGAATTATCAATTAATTTCATATGATGAATTAAATTTAAATTGATCAATATTTTATAGCATTCTGAATATATTTCTTAGTTCTTTAGAGTTGATAATTTCAAATTAACTTTTTTTAGAAAGTGAATTATTAAATGTTGTAATTTAATTAACGATCGATTCTTAGTTGAATTAATTTTGAATTTTAATATCTATTATGTTATTTAATTCATCAAAGAAGCTATGGTTTGAATTATCAAATCCAATAGCATCAAAACTATTGCTCAACTCTTTTGAATTTTGATATCATCAATTCATCAAATTATAAAATAAAGAAGTACCTTAATTTATGGAGTTCGTTAAAAAATTATTCTACCAATTCCACATCACCTTTAATTAATCTATAGATATTTTCTACTTAACTCTTTTTGTTTTCTTCTCTAATTTAGAGAACTTTTTTTAAATCCAATTATTTAGTATCTCATTCAAACTTCCAGGCAAATAGAACATAAAAGATGTTCCTCTTTCTTCAAATTTTTATCAAGTATAACCATTTGAATAGGTTGCTTATGGTTTTTTTTGCTAAAATTGAGTTATTCTTCTAATTCTATCATATTAGATTAAAACATAATAAATAAAGGATATTAATTAAATCTAATATAAATATTGCAAAAAATTGAGTATTTAAACCATGAATATTATTGTTTATTATCTTTATTTACTAAGTTATGCTTCTAACAAAAATCCATACCACCTAATTAAAATTTGAAAAAGCAATATACTTGATATCTCAATCCAAAAATTATAAAATATAAATATTTAAATCACTTCTTAAATATATTCTATAACATAATTAGCATTTGATTATAATATCAAATAGGCAAAAGATTCAATTCTTGTGAGTGAGAAGTAAATTTTTTCTCAGTGGGTAATTATTGCCTTTACGGTGATCATTCAAATTTCCATACAATAATCAATTTAAAAATAATTAAAAATGAATGAATTGGTTTCAAAATATTTCTTAGAGAAAAAATTAAAGGTCAATTTATTTATACCCGATTTTTAAATGAATTTATTCATAATTTTTCAAAAATAATTCCTAAAGATCATAAATTTTATTGAATAGTAAGCAATTAATAGATAGATAATACTATTAATTACATGAGAATGCTCCATAATCAATCTTATTTATGAGAATTCAAAATAATATTCATTAGAATTTTAACATTGCATAATCATCACAGGTTCTACCTGAAATACCTAAGTTACTTTGGTTATGAAATTGACTTAAAAGTTTTACGCGATATTGCGAAATTTTGAATAGTTTACTTCATCTTAAAGACAAAAGTTTTGATAAATAATTATTAATTTCACCTAATTATTTTATTTTGTAAATAATTTTAAGTATATCCTTTGATATGAGATTAAGGAAAATTGACAGGTTTCTCAATTTTTAATGTAAAATTCGAAATAAATAAAATTGCCTTGTTTTAATAATATATCGCATATTAGTTTGAATCAATTCTCTTTTCTCCAACTTAAATTAGTTTATTATAAAATGAAGGATGTGTATTTTTGAATTTGAATCTTTTATTTATACAAATTTACCAAAAAAAAATAAATAATGACTCGATTTATAATATCAAATTTTTGAATTTTTGAGGAATTTAACTTCTAATTACTACGTTTTTTCAACTTTCTCCCTTTGATCTATTCAATTATTGCATTCTGTTATTCAGAATTATTTACATAGAGCTACCAGTTTTCATTTAGTTAGGTGATTATTTATGAAATTTTAGATACTTGTGAATTTATTCCATTTATTGTTAGATAATTCTACCAGTTCCAATCTCATTTTTAAATAAACTATTGATTAATACTAGCTTATATGAAAGATTGTTCATAAATGTTAATTTCTTATTTATGTTAAAAATAAATAACCAAAATATTTTTTATATACTACTAAATAATTCCTTAATTCGAAAAACAGAATAATTTATTTATCATCATAGTTCAATTATCCCTTATTTCTTTTAAATCCCTTTGAAAATTAAAGATTACTGAGAATTCTCAGCTGAGAGCATTAATTCTATCCTTGCCAATGTGATATTATATCTAATTATAACAAAGTTTAATTATTATCATAATCAGATGTATTCTTGATTCAATGCTTCAAAAATATATATTGAGAGAATCAATAAATTTAAATTTCTGGTTTCCTTCATTAGTTGGTATTTTATAGTATTGTTTTATAATTATTGAATAAAAGTGGAGATCTTTAAATACATATACAAATAACATGAAAATTAATCAATAATAGGCTTGTGTCTTAATTCTAATTGTAAAATGCATCCTAATATTGTAACAAAAGCTTAATGAAACGCATTCAGATCACTCAGAATTAGAAACCATTAGCATTTAGTATTATTATATTTATCAAGATTAAAAGAAGCTATTTATAATTATTGACTTAGAATAATTGGGCTTTAATAAATATATATTAATGGTTAATACTTATTGTCATTTTTGAATAACCCTTTCCCTACAATTATTTCAATTTTCTTAAAAGTATGGAATATTTATCTAATCTTTATATACTAACCTCCAACGGTATTTAAAGTTTCACCCTACCAAATGGCTTTCTATTATCCAGTTTTTTAGATTCTTCTGATGCTTGTGAATAATTAAGGTTCTTACATTCTGATGATTTCCCCATTAGTAGATATAACTTTAGCTTCTCTATTTTGGTAATTCAAATTGCAATTTCCTTTTAGAAGGAATCTTTAATTTAATTTAAAATATTCCAAATCTTGCTCATCTTCTGGCAAAGAAGAATTCATAATAAATTAGGTTATAAAAATAAAAATAAGACACGTTATTTAGTTAAATTCTGATGGTCATATGATTTTATATGTCTCTATCAAATATTTCAACCCGTTTTTTGAAATTTAACTTAATAAAGTTTTGAATCGGTGGTTAATTTGACAATAACTAAACACTCAAATTTTATCTGAATCCGATTTATTACACAATAGGGAAACTACCTTCTCTTTTGTTTGAAGGATTTATAAACCTTAGATGCAATAATAAAACTTAAGTTCCTTCTAAAAGACTGTTAAAAGATTTAATTAATTGATTTTATAGAGGGTTAATTAGTGGTATTTACTCGAGGATGAAGCTGATTATTATAATCCTAATCTTCTGAGGGTTATTAAGATTTTACAAAAATATCCTCAAAAAAAAAAAATTCAAAAAATGAGTACTTTTAGATATAAAATTGGCTAAAAGTCACAAGAAAATCTGATTTTGTGTTTTTAGAAAATTTAAAAACAAAAGAAAATAACAGGCTGCTTGAAGTTTGATATCAATTGAGAACTCCCTTAAATTAAAGATAAACCAAGACAGTATTCAGATTGAAACCACAAAATCCCAATTTGACTTAAAAGTAAAACTACTACCACAAAGAGGGATCAAAAAAATTTAGTAAATGATATATCTATAATTATAATGAACACAAAAACTAATATTTTTAGCAATTAAAAAAATTAATACTATTTTATTTAACTTTTATTTCTTTGTCCAAGTGTTATTTTGTATTTTAAATTTGGTTTACAATCAACTTTTAAGCCATAAATTGCCAAATTATTAAGATTTTATGGTGATTGATTCATTAATAAGATGGCTTAGAATGTGTTACTGATGGTTAAATTATTACAGAAAGAATAATTAAAAATAATGAGAAGCTTATTAGTTGAAATATCACCAGAAAATAGAGAATAGTTTTAGAATGTAAACTCTTTGGTTTTAAAATTAATCAAAATCCTATTTATTTGAGGGTCTAAACTTATCTCTAAATTTTATAGAATACTAAAATTAGGATGAAGCTTATTTAGAGTTTCATTTTTATTTGCCATACATTTATAATTTTTAAAATTATAATTCTTGAATAGTACTCCAAAGAAGCCTTTTCATAACTCAAAATAAGTAAATTTTTGACTCCAATCTTTAACCGGAATGCTCCCTAATTATCATTCTAACATACCTTCGTTAAGTACCATTGTAGATACTATTAATGAGGAAAGTAACCAAACAATTTTCATGAAAAACTATAGATATTTTTAATCTCTATCGTAGGCTCTAAGGATTTAATTAAACTGCTACGCCCTTGTTTTAGAGTTGAACAGATACTGCCTTTTGACTTTCCTATTCTTATAATGTTGGACCTTAGGTAGATTTTCTTACATTCAAATCAATATTATCAACTTCAATTATCTTTTATACACTAACTTTTTAAAAATATTTTCAACTGCAAATTCTCATAGTTAAATTATAATCAATTCAACTTTTGAAAAGAAAAAAAAAAGAATTTTAAGAGGTAGTCTTAGGATTTATAGCAAACTCTTTTCAAATGTGGTTCAAGAACTAATTCTAAGTGATTTATTACAGCTCCACAAGTAGAATATTCTGAAATCCATAATTCATAGTAAACTGATAATTTAAGAAACTAAAAATCTGCTACAAAGAATTTCTTACAAGTCAAAAATAACCCTATACCTTAAGAAACATTTTTAAAGCAAATAGATATTTTTTAAAGCCATCGAGCTCTGTCATTAAGTATTGCGATTTTTTCATTCTCCAAAAATACAAATTTACTGAATTTTACATTAGATGACCTCAAATTATCATTTTCAAAAGATTCTGGTTGCGATATGCGTAAAAGCTAAACAATATGTTAAGGAAGAAAGATTTCCCACCTTGAATCATAATAAGTTATGATATGAAGTATCATTTAACAACAAAAATTTTATAATATAATTATAATTAATTCATATTCTGATTAAATATTATCTAATTATTGATAAATCTGAGTAATTTGAAAGTATTGCTCTCCTTCTAAGTAAAGGATATTTAATAAAATTGATATGACCTTTATTAAGCTCAAACTTCTTTCAATTACATAAATCATAAATTAATAAAGATTTTTGAATTCGATCACATAAAGATCAGAATATCATGAACTTTTTTCTGTAATTTTACATTTATTAATATTAACATATCTCCCTCGTCAATATTTTGATTAAAAATAAAATATGAAGATTTTATTTGATTATTAGCTTAAGTATCGCTGATAAATCCATAGTACTAAAAATTTTATTTGATTTTCACTTATTAATAAATGATTAGGTTTGAGAATTGTAATTACAAATGGTGCCTGCAAATGAAATATAAATTGAATTTTCACATTTTACCAATGCAGGAAAAACCGACACAAGTAGTTTAAGTTTTAATTAATTTAATGTAATTAAGATACTATTGTATTTTTTCACAGAATAAGTTTTAAAATGATAATTTTCATGAGGAAACTTAATTTTAGATAGGGAATAACTATCATTTAATTATTAATAGAGAACAATAATTTGACTTCAATGTACTACTTAGATGATGCAAAGGATAATGATATTGATTTTAAATAAATTTTTTTTTAAATGATTTTTAATCGATTTATTTTAATTCCTTGGCATTTCTTATATTTATGCATTTTTAAAGGATTTATATATTGATATAACTTCTATTATTTTTAATGAATTAACAACGTTTATGTTGAGCCCATTGGATTAATTTTAGAAGCAAATTATTTATTCCATATTCTTTTCTACATTCTTCTTAAAATTGAAAAACTATTAATATACCAAAGTATGCAAACTATTAATACTATTTGAAAAATGAGTTGAATAGTTTCTCTCAGTTTTATTTTTGTTATAAATTTATTTTGAAAAAGTAATATATAAGGTAACAATATAATAGAAATTCATAATAATTATTTTTCTAATGGGATGCGCAAGTATTCAACCAAGTTAAATTGAACCATTGGTATATTAATGGAAAGGTGATTTATATAAGGTATTGGCCTCATCAAAAGCAATTGATGTATAACTTCTAAAGTAGACAATTGCTGTTTTCAAAAAAGAGAAAATCACAAATTGCCTAGATTACCTTTCAAAACATTGTCAAAAAAAAAATAAAGAATATTCAAACATTAAGTATATCACTGATGTTATTAAAAATATTTGCGAACTTGATTTTAACAAGACGAATTATTCTACAAATGAATAAGAAGAATAGAGAAAGCATCTAATCATGAAAATATCTTATGATCAGGAAATAATAGAATTTTTAAAATTTCTAGTTCAACTTACTGCTTTAGATGAGAAATTGATAAGATGTGGATCAAATTCTTTAAATATTTTAGTTGAAATGAAGGTTAGTATGGCGTATCACAATTTTGAAAATATTAAAATTAAAAATACCTAAGTAATAGGAGCTAATTTTTTCAAATGTGACTTAAGTGGCTCTGAATTTGACGATGTCATTATTAGTGGAATAGTTTTGAATGGAGCAAAATTATTTAATTGTAAATGGAAGAATTTAAGAATAAATGAGTTAAATAAGTTGAATGGTCATGGTGATATAGTCAATTTAGTTTGCTTTTCTCCAGATGGTAAGTTATTGGCTTCTTGCAGTGATGATAATTCTACTCGATTGTGGGATGTGAAAACAGGAAAAATAAAGTCTATATTATAAGGAGAAATGAATGTCAAATCAGTCTGCTTCTCAACAAATGCGATAATGTTGGCGTCCTATAGTGGCAAATTTCTATATAGATGGAACCTTCAAACAAGAAAGCATATTCATAAATTAAAAGTTCATACTGATGATGTAAATATAGTTTGTTTCTCTCTTGATGGTAGTGCATTAGCATTTGGTTGTGAAGACAACTCTATCTGTTTATGGGATGTTAAGACAGGATAATAATATCACTAATTATATGGTCATACTGCTGAAATCTATTCAGTCTGTTTCTCTCCTGATGGCACTAAATTAGCATCTGGAAGTTATGATTTATCTATCTGTGTATGGGATGTTAACACAGGATAACAATATCACTAATTAGAAGGTCATACTGGATATGTAAATGCAATCTGTTTCTCTCCTGATGGTAATACATTAGCATCTGGTAGTTATGATAACTCTATCCGTTTTTGGAATATGAAAACAGGATAACAAACAGCAAAATTAGATGGCCATAATTATTTAGTTAGATTCGTCTGTTTTTCTCCTGATGGTACTAAGTTAGCATCTGGAAGTTATGAAAACTCTGTTTTCATATGGGATGTTAAAAAAAGAGAATAAAATGTCAAATTATATGGTCACGCTCGTGAGGTGAATTCAGTTTGTTTCTCTCCTGATGGTACTAAATTAGCATCTGGTAGTAATGATAACTCTATCCGTTTATGGGATATTTAGACAATATCATAACATCCCTAATTAGATGGTCACATTGATAGTATCCGAAAAGTATGTTTCTCTCCTGATGGTACTACTTTAGCATCTGGAAGCGATGATTGCACTATCCGTTTATGGAATGTTAAGACAGGATAATAAAAAGCCAAATTTGATGGTCATAGCAGTTATGTCATCTCGATTTGTTTCTCTCCTGATGGTAAAACATTAGCCTCTGGTAGTGGAGATTACTCTGTTCGATTATGGGATGCTAAGTAAGGATAACAAAAGGCCCAAATGAATGGACATAGTAATTACGTCAGATCAGTATGTTTCTCTCCTGATGGCAATACTTTAGCATCTGGTAGCGATGATTCGACTATTCGTTTATGGAATGTTTAGACATAAGAGGAAATAAATCAATTTGTAACTGATGTTCATTATCTATTTTCAACTTGTTTCTCTCCTGATAGTACTACATTAGCATCTGGATGTATTGATGGTTATATCAGTTTATGGGATGTTATGACAGGAGAATAAAAAGTCTCATTAGTGGGTCATGATAATTATGTTATTTCAGTCTGTTATTCTCCTGATGGTAATACATTAGCATCTGGTAGTATGGATTACACTATTATATTATGGGATGTTAAGACATTAACATAAAAATAGAATTTATACGGCCATTAATATCCAATCATGTAAGTCTGCTATTCTTCTGATGGAACTATGCTTGCTTCATGTAGTTAAGATAGATCTATCATTTTATGGGATAGTTAAAGTGGTAATTAAATGGCCAAATAATATGTTCATACATCTGGTGTTAATACTTTATGCTTCTCTCCAGATGGTACTATGTTAGCATCTGGTAGTGATGATATGTCTATTAGTTTATTAGACGTTAAGACTATATTACAAAAAGCAAAATTTGATGGTAATTCAAATGCAATATATTCACTATGTTTCTCTCGTGATGGTACTACGTTAATATGTGGTGGTTTTGACTGCTCAATTAGACTATTGGATGTTAAGACAGGAAAACAAAAAGCCACATTGATTGGCCATACTCAAAGAGTTACATCAATCAGTTTATCTCTTGATGGTACAACATTAGCATCGAGTAGTGAAGATAAATCTATTTGCATATGGGATGTACAAACAGGATCCTAAGCAGCAAAATTAGATGGCCATACTAAAAAGGTCATGTCTGTCTGTTTCTCTCCTGATGGTAATACATTAGCATCTGGTAGCGATGATAAGACTATTTGTCTATGGGATGTTCAGACTGGAGAATAAAAAGCTATATTAAATGGTCATTAATATTGTGTTTATTCGGTCTGTTTCTCTCCCGATGGTACTACTTTAGCATCTGGTAGTTGGGATAACTCTATCTATTTATGGGATGTTGAGACACTATTACTAAACGCAAAATTAAATGGACATCGCAGTTATGTCATGTCCGTCTGCTTCTCTCCTGTTGGTTCAATACTAGCTTCTTGTAGTGATGACAACACTATTCGTTTATGGAATTTTAAGACAGGACAACAAAAACAATAATTTATTGACTAAGGTCATGGTTTTCTTACAATCTGTTTTTCCCCTGATGGCTTAACAATAGCATCTATCCTTTCAGATAACTTTATCTTTTTATGGGATGTGAAAACAGGACAATAAAAGGCCAAATTATCAGTTCATACAAGTTAAGTTCATTCAATCTGTTTCTCTCCTGATGGTGCTACTTTAGCAGTTGGTTGTGATAAAAACTCTATCTATTTACAGGATTCTAAAACTGGATAATAAAAAGCCAAATTATCTGGTCATACTGCTGAAATTCATTCAGTCTGTTTTTCTCCTGATCGGACTATATTAGCATCTAGTAGTAACGATAACACTATCCGTTTGTGGAATGCTAAGACAGGTTAATAAAAAGCCTAATTATACGGTCATAAAAGTGATGTAGTTGCGCTTTGTTTTTCTCTTGATGGTAATACATTAGCATCTGGAAGTCATGATTATTCTATCCGTATATGGGATGTTTAGACCTTATAATAAACAGCGAAATTAGATGGTCACTAAAATTAAATTAATTCTGTCTGTCTCTCTTCTGATGGTGTTACATTAGCATCTGGTAGTAGTGATAATTCTATTCGTTTATGGTATTTTAAGACAGGATATGAAAAAAACCAATTAATAGGTCATACGAGTGATGTTTATTCAGTTTGTTTCTCTCCTGATTGTACCACATTGGCATCTGGTAGCGGCGATAACTCTATCCGTTTATGGAATGTTAAGACAGGAGAATAAAAAGCCAAGTTTGATTTACATTAATATTAAGCGTATTAAGTCTGTTTCTCTCCTGATGGAATTACATTAGCGACATGTAGTGGCTATTTATAATATATTGCGGATTATTCTATTTGTTTATGGGATATTAAGACAGGATTATAAAAAGCCAAATTAAATGGTCATTAATATTATGTTAATTCAGTCTGTTTCTCCCCTGATGGTAGTACATTAGCTTCTGGTAGTGAAGATAACTCTATTCGTTTATGGAATTTTAAGACAGGAGAATAAAAAGCAAAATTAAATGGACATTAATATGGCGTTAATTCTGTTTCTTTCTCTACTGATGGTACTACTTTAGCATCTGGTGGCAGGTATTAAATTTATGATGAAGATTGTTCAATACGTTTATGGGATGTTAAGACAGGATAATTAAGAGTCAAGATAGATAGACATAAATATTATGTTAGTTCAGTAAGTTTATCACCTGATGGTACTATATTAGCATCTATTAGTGACGATAACACTATCAATTTATGGAATGTTAAGACAGGAGAAAAAAAAGCCAAATTAGATGGTCATACTAGTTATATTAACTCAATAAACTTCTCTTCTGATAGTATTATATTAGCATCCAGTAATTTGGATAATTCTATCTGGTTATGGGATATTAAGACAGGCAAGCAAATCTTAAAATCAGATAAATGTTATAAAGATATTTTCACAAAATTGTCACCTCAACTATCATAAACTAACTTTCTTCCAGAAAATGTTAGTTATTTTCATAATTATTTACCTTCATCCAATATTCCCATTCTTCGAATTTCCAAAAATCCTAATTTAGAAGGTTAAGGTGCTTTAATCTTGAAAGGAAAATTTTAAAATATTTTAGGCTTAGATCTACGATACTTATTTTAATCTAAAGGAAGTTTCATTTTAGAAAACCACATTGAATGCCGATAAAAATTTCATTGATTATCATATCATTATTAGAAATTGTCAACACTTAATATTTTTATTTTTTTGAATAAAAGTTCAACATAAATTTTAGATTTTAATCAATTATTAAATTTTTTTTTCATAACATTTGAAAATCAAGAATTCATAATATGAGTACATCATTCTTAAAAAACAGAGATAAAGGTTTGATTAGATCTAAACAAGTATAGAATTTTAATAGACATTTTTGCAAGAAAAAAAATACAATTCATATCAAAAACATCTTGAAATATTTCTTTCAATAAATTTTTTCAAGGATTATTTTCAATGTATTATTTCATTAATACTTTTTATAATTATCCCTTATATCTAAACCTATAAAAAGTTACGGCATCTGCATCCTCGATGCATCAGCGGTAAACGAACCAAAATGTATTTATAAACATTTATCTTTAGTATATGCAAAGTACCTTTTAATTTAGGCAAAGAATAAAGTATGTAAAATAATATAGCTATAGGAGAGAAATTAGATAGCTGTAATTGATATGCCTAATAGGACTTATTTAAGATGTTAACATAATTCATATTCAAGCAAGTCAAGAATTGGATTTTACAGGACTAATTTTTTCCAAATATTGTTAAAAAGTTGATTAAATACTTTTTAGGGGGGGGGAAATTAGATCTACAATGAAATTGTTGCAAATTGTTTTAAAGCAAATGGCATTCAAATTGATTTTTAGATTAAAAAGGAAAATACAATCTCGGAATAATTCTTAGGTGATATTATTTCAAATAACTATACACCTTGGCGATGGGTCATTGATATAATCTCTACATAACTATTAATTCCAAGACTTATTTCAAAATAATCAGGTAGAGTTTCATAACATTCAGATCAATTCATAGTTCTTTTGATTTAAAAGCTTTTTCATTTTAGCACAATAGTATTCATTTAAGGTTATACAATCGGATTAAATTAATCTTTATAGAAAGCTCTTAGTGCTTACTTATCATAGTCTTATGTAATTTTCAATTTCAATTATTTTCTCAAACACCATTATATTGATATTGTGATTTTTGGCGCTTTATCATTTCCTTAAAAGGTTCGTATTATACTTATGTCAGATTGTTTATCCTTAAATTAGATCTATAGAAATTTCTATTAATGGCTTCCCAAAATTATCAGAAATAATTAAAAAAAGCAGCTTTTCAGTTATTTTATTATGTTTGCAGGTTCAATTGATCCTAAATAGCTTATTTATTAAATTCTTTCTCCTATTGACTTGCTGTAGGTATAAAAGATTTTACAAGCTTCTCCTTTATTATTTAACAAATTAAAAATATATTTAATCGCCAATGTATTAGGGCTTTGGAATCAGAATTAAATAAAATCAACCTTTTTAAATATACATTTCATTTAGATTTTCTTGCCAAAAGCACAAGTTACTTTTAGGATTTATTTATTATAACTTACAAACTCTTTTTGTTTACCAAAATTAGACTTATGTCAAACCCAAAATAAATAATGACTAACTTTAGAAAAAGGCTTATACCAAATAGACTGTTCTCTTTAAGAAATAGCAAATCTTAAGATATTCAAACTCGATATTATGCAATATCTTTGCTTAATATTTATCTAGGACATCTATTTTTCACTAGATAATTCGTTTATTCACTAGATTTATGAACAATTTATTCAATAATCTTGGAATGCTCATACATTCCTTAAACATATTTTTTAAATGTCCTTCTTTTATTGCTCATTAGTCATGATTGTGTAGTATTTTTCTTAATTGTCATGAATGCTCCATATCGTCTGGAGATAAATTTATTTAAAGCAGTAGTCCTTCATACTTTTAATTTGATGTTGTTAACTAATTCTCTTCATTTGATTGCTACCCTTCAAAGTTCAGAGCAACTACTGAATAAAAAGGTAATTAGCTCTAAATAAGTAACCCAAAATCTCTGTAATTAGACAATTAGATAGTTCAACCCCACAAGCCACACAAATATTTCAATTTTAGATACGAATTTCTTAAATAGTCTCTCAAAAAATGGTAATTTCTGTTCAATTAAATAATAAATTTGATGATGAATAGTAGATTGATCTACTAAAATAATGACTGTAAATTAAAAAATTGCTGAAGGTTCCTTTTTATTGTGAAAAAGTAATAGCTAAAGGTTGTAATTTCTTTGAGATGGGTGAAATATGCAAAAATACTTGATAAGTGGTGATTTAGTCCAAATTCTCGATAGCTGGTTTGATGAATATTATTTCTATCATCTATTCATTTTAGCAGAAAAATCCTCAATCAAAGCTCGAGATATATCCTATTAGGAGTTTTCTTGAACAAAAAAATTCGGTTCTATTGTCCTTTATGGTTAAATGGCCATTTTGATATGTGGAATCATCTTTAAAAGCATATTTTTTAAATCCAGAAAATTTATTCCTGCAGTCTTTAAATCAATTTTTATATGAAAATGTAAAAGAATCGTGAGCTTATCGAGTGAACTACAAGGATAACTTTCGGATATTAGATTGAAAAATCTGGTTAGGTCTAATATGAAAAGAATTTTAAGATTAGTCTCAAACGCCTACAATGAGCTACCAACTCCTATAATTCTATTTGTAATGGAACTCTTATTATAATGATTTTGTCCAACTTGGATACATGATTTGGTTATCTGATTTTATCATTAAATTTGTAAATTTTCTTTTCTATCTAAAGTGTTTTTCCTTTTCAACAGCATTTCTAAAATCTCATTCTCATCTTTTCCCCACCTAATGCCTTTTGGTTCGAATGGATAATAATTAACTTATCCATGTGGTGCTTAAAAGACAGAAGGTATGATTTTATATGAGGATAAGAGCTTCATCATTTCACTAAATTTTTTATTGAGAAATAAAATTCATTAATACTTTTAATTTAACTTATACATATAAATGAACATCATGTGTATCAAGCAATAAAATTGAGTAGTAGAAGCAAGATATGTAAGAATTATTAAACAATATTTATTCTTAATAACCTATGGTGATTTTAAAAAGGAGATTAGGTTTCCTTTTGGTAAATGCTTGTATCTAGCTTGAACTCTCAATAGTTAGGTTGAATACCTTCTCCTTTTCGATGAAAATGGGCAATTTACAAAAGCTTAATCAACAATTTCAGTTTTATGTGAAACCAAATAATAACAATACTAAACAATTAATCTATCAAATTTATTTCATAAAGTACCTTTACAACGTCATCAGCTGATACCCTACTCTGGACAACATTATGGGGCTGACCAAAATGCATAGCTAATAACGGTTTTCAATCTTTATTTTCCAACTATTTANAATTTCTTAAATAGTCTCTCAAAAAATGGTAATTTCTGTTCAATTAAATAATAAATTTGATGATGAATAGTAGATTGATCTACTAAAATAATGACTGTAAATTAAAAAATTGCTGAAGGTTCCTTTTTATTGTGAAAAAGTAATAGCTAAAGGTTGTAATTTCTTTGAGATGGGTGAAATATGCAAAAATACTTGATAAGTGGTGATTTAGTCCAAATTCTCGATAGCTGGTTTGATGAATATTATTTCTATCATCTATTCATTTTAGCAGAAAAATCCTCAATCAAAGCTCGAGATATATCCTATTAGGAGTTTTCTTGAACAAAAAAATTCGGTTCTATTGTCCTTTATGGTTAAATGGCCATTTTGATATGTGGAATCATCTTTAAAAGCATATTTTTTAAATCCAGAAAATTTATTCCTGCAGTCTTTAAATCAATTTTTATATGAAAATGTAAAAGAATCGTGAGCTTATCGAGTGAACTACAAGGATAACTTTCGGATATTAGATTGAAAAATCTGGTTAGGTCTAATATGAAAAGAATTTTAAGATTAGTCTCAAACGCCTACAATGAGCTACCAACTCCTATAATTCTATTTGTAATGGAACTCTTATTATAATGATTTTGTCCAACTTGGATACATGATTTGGTTATCTGATTTTATCATTAAATTTGTAAATTTTCTTTTCTATCTAAAGTGTTTTTCCTTTTCAACAGCATTTCTAAAATCTCATTCTCATCTTTTCCCCACCTAATGCCTTTTGGTTCGAATGGATAATAATTAACTTATCCATGTGGTGCTTAAAAGACAGAAGGTATGATTTTATATGAGGATAAGAGCTTCATCATTTCACTAAATTTTTTATTGAGAAATAAAATTCATTAATACTTTTAATTTAACTTATACATATAAATGAACATCATGTGTATCAAGCAATAAAATTGAGTAGTAGAAGCAAGATATGTAAGAATTATTAAACAATATTTATTCTTAATAACCTATGGTGATTTTAAAAAGGAGATTAGGTTTCCTTTTGGTAAATGCTTGTATCTAGCTTGAACTCTCAATAGTTAGGTTGAATACCTTCTCCTTTTCGATGAAAATGGGCAATTTACAAAAGCTTAATCAACAATTTCAGTTTTATGTGAAACCAAATAATAACAATACTAAACAATTAATCTATCAAATTTATTTCATAAAGTACCTTTACAACGTCATCAGCTGATACCCTACTCTGGACAACATTATGGGGCTGACCAAAATGCATAGCTAATAACGGTTTTCAATCTTTATTTTCCAACTATTTAGAAAATTCCCTTGCTTAGCTTAAAGATATCTGCAAAAGAAGAAATTCATAGATATGATAGATTCATATAAGCAAAAAAAAAACTTAAGAGAATGAACGGATATCTTTTGAAAAAGCTAAAAACATTCATCTTTATTCTAAGAAACACTTGCAGAACTGAAGAAAACGCAATAGAACGAAATAGCCAGACAATAAAAAAAAATATGTGAGATTTAAAAGAGAAGATCCAGAATAATCTGCTTCAGCTGTGTGATTGAAGTGGAGTCAATATATAAGGTGTGTATTATTGTAAACTTTGTAAAAAGAAGTCCTTCTAGCTTTTTCACATCACTTGCCTGAGTGTTAAAGACATAAATCTCTCTAAACATGATATTTCCTCCTTGTTAGAAGGTCATTCCAATTTCTAAAAAAGGAAATAGCTTTTATCACAGCTATTATATTAGCCATAAACAATAACATAAAATTAACCTTATAGGCACAATATTAACTCATTCTCTCTTGTATTTAGATTAATAACTATTCATGAAAAAACCTGTAAACATAATTTAGGAGTGAGAATACAGATGTCAAAATAGTAGGGCTTTCTCCAGCTTAGATAGTTTTTGTGTATATGGACTGCTGAGTGAGTGATGATAATTAGTATAAATTCCAAGAAAACAAGGAAGAGAAATAGCTAAACGACTGATGATTTTATTATAGCGCTTATACTCACTTCAAAAAAAAATAAAGGAGTTTTTGATAAAAACTAGAAATGATCATTTTACACATAGGATAACTGCATAACTTTGGCTAGCTTTGGGTTTGTTTGTGGATGGCCATAAAACAGAACAAAATCAACAGAATTTAAAGAATACTGGAACCCCACCCTCAACAGCTTGAAATATTAGCAGCTCTTTCATCAAAATAAATTGAATATTCGTTGCGGTATTTAGAGAGTAATTGACACCTGTAATAGAATCAATGTGTTAAGTTGGGGAAGCCTTGTTTGTAGCTTTTAAAGAAGCGCTCTAAATTCTGAAGCAGAGAACAAGCAGTCCGTATTTTCAAAGGCAGAGAGAGAATACAAGTCATTCAAAACAAAATTTTTCTTACTGAAGTTATAAAAAAGATGACTTATTATATTTTAACGACAATAAGCTTTCTATAAATAAGCATGGTAATGTATTAGGGCAAATTGCTTTAATAGGTGAATTAGTGAAAAAGATAGATCGAATCTTTCAAAAATCTCATGATAGATAGTTAAGTTCTAAGCAATATGTACAAATTTTAAATTTATTCAAAAAATCAATTTTGAAAGATGTATAATTTAGAAAAAGAAGAAAATATCCTTATTGAAAATAAAGGGCTGAGCTAATTCAAGCAGAAAAGAGCCTCCAAATAACTATTTGACTACAGAGATAAGTTGATAAAATTATAGATTGCTGAATAATCCTTCATTTAAAAACATGACAGTTACCCCTGTTGTAAGCAATGTTAATTCAAAATACATGACTTTGGTAATTTATAACAAACAGAAATAAATTATAAGAACTGGGTGACTCTTGTCTATTGTAAAAATACAAAACCCTATCCATGCATTTTTAAAATGATAGAAAAGTTTAATTTATAAGTAGGTAAAAATTTACAAGTTTGATTTAGAATTCTTTTTCGAATAATATTAAAGGGAAATAAAATCTCATTCAATTGTAATAATAATAATTGTTAATTTAAAAATACAAAGAAGTTTTGGATACAATTAATTCTTGTTTATTATGAATTTTCACTTACATTAATTTAGAAAAGGCATTTTTGTTATTCCAGAGCTTTTGTATTATCAAATTAATTGACTCAAATCATCGTTAAAATGTTATATGAGTACTTGAATGACATATGTTGAATGAATTACTTAATATTTAGAAATTTAAAGATGATGGGCAATATAATTAAGGTTAAATCAAAATAGAATTTTAATCAGTATCATCAGATAATATTCATTTTACTGCTCAGAATTATTGTATTTAAGCAATTGAGGGTTCAAACTCTTTTATAAGATGGATATTGATTCTTCCCTATTCTAATAACGAATTATTTGTAATTAAATTAAGAGGTGCATAATTTATAGAGAGTATTCACCTCAAAAAATTTAATCAACTCTTTCACTATTTTTTACCTAAATTTCGAAATATAAGTATCATCAATATAATTATAGATTACCTATTGTCTTTATCTTACAGTTATTATAATAAAACTAAGTGATAATGGCGCAATCTATTTATTTCAATAAGATTATGATAATAATATTGTTAGTTATTCAAATTATAATTTTTAAATGTAGTTCTCTCACTTATAATATTAAAATCAATTTAATCTTAATCAAGGATTCAAATCCAGTCATTTAATTTATAATTTCCTTTTACTATTAATTAATAGGAAACAAATGCTTTTTTTAATGACAATTCAATTTAATTCTATATGTAATTGTAGTGAATACATAACTATATTCATCTTTACTTTACATTATAATATCAATTAAGTTATCATAATTTTAATAAACCAAATTATTTGCTAATATCAATTCAGTGATTAATAAATTTCAAATCAATAAAATAGATTAATAAACTAATAACTAGATATTTTATCTATTTGCAATGTTTTTAGGTTTGAAATTTGAAAAATTTACCAAAATGCCATTTTAGAAAAACCTTCATAGCTCAACAACTGATAATAAAATATTGATGTAAACTGATAACTTATTCTTTTATAACTTTTGACCTTCGATCTTCTTTATTTGGCTCATCCAGATATTATTTAGTTCCATAAACATTTTCAATTATTGTTAAAATAAGCAGCATTTTGAATCAAATAATATCTTAGGTCTATTAAATAATTCAAATTAATAATTGTAATATAATATTAATCTATTCAACTCTATTGATTAGACTAGTTTAGCTTAGCATAATATTGTCAACTATTACTTATCATTTAAGTGCAATAATAAAAATTATTTCAATTCTGGCTAATTTCATAATCCTTCAAACTATCTTAAATTATGGTAGTTTATCTAGCGTTGGTAATTCTATTAATCAAGCTTCTTTTTTAATGCAATAATTTTAATTTGATAATTAATAAATTATTGTACAAATCTCTCAATGCAACTTGAACTCATTCTGATGTTCTGATTTAAAGTTCCTTTATTACATTAGCATCTGAATGTGCGATTATTGTAAGTAATTCATCCAGTTGATGACTATGATATGGAGGTATTAATTCAGGCATTGTACTTAATAGATAGCTTTCATCGAAGATAGATTTATAGTTAATGATTTTCTTGCTTTTAATTTTTTATGTAATAGTTTAATCTATGACAGAGAATTACAAACTTTGGGATTTAGAAATAGAATTGAGATGATTTTTGAAATTAAAGTCAATATAAATTATATATAAAATTATTCATTTTTATATTATTTTATTTTTAATAAAAAATGTAACTCTAAACAGATTTTTATGGTAGAGTGGAGAATGGATATAAAAAAAAATGTAAGCAGATTGTTACATACCCAGTCTTGTAAGTAGAAGATTTAAGATAGGTAAACCGAAGGGAGCAATCCTCACAATCGCATTAGGAATTACTCTAATCCTATGTCAACCATAAACTAAACCATGTGAAGATGGAACTACATCAACCATAATTTCTAAAAGATGAAAGACTAAGAAAATCAATAAAATAATGTGACGCATCATATTATCACCATCTACTTTAAAAACATAAAATTCAAATTGCACTTCTAAATACTTACCTTTATAAGACCTTGATTGATATTAATTGTAATTCAAATAGATAGAGTAAGTCGACATGACATGAGATTTTCCTAGTTAGATCTAATGATTTGACAATTCGTTATCATATAATTTATTTAAAATTGATTTTTAATTTACTCTACTCCATCCTTTAAAGTTCCATTCTAATAAGAAAAATCTAAATATAGTAAATTTTCTTTTTAATTTTTAAATAAATTTTAAAACTAATATTTTAATATATATTAATAAAGTAGGATCAAATCTCTTCAGCTAATAATTATAGAGGTATTTTGTATTTTATGATTTATTAGAACAAATATATAACAATAATATTTTTACTTAAGGAGAAAAAAATTTTAATTTCACATCCTAAAATTTCAATAAATAAGCAAAATTAAATTAATGATTTTCCAGATTAACATCAAATATGAACCTTGAATAATTAAGGAACAATAGACTGTCTTATAATATCTAAAAAATAGAAGTTCTCTTTTTCTCAATATAAAAATTTCATTTTTGTTATGGTAACTTCAATCCAGAAGGAACCACAACCTGATGCATCTTCATAGGGCATCGCTGTAATAATTATTGTGAGTGAAATAAAAAATTTGCCCCTATCAACTGAAATCACAACATTTGTATTGGCTGATAAAATCTGGTGATTTAGAAAATTAATTTGGGCCACAATTAAAGGAGAACCAATTTAGTAATCAATTCACAAAAATATAGACAATAGAAAAATCGCAAACGAGAAGGTTAGCCACAAATAAATTTCTGGAAAAATTCTGAGTGAATAGAAGAAATATCAGAGTGGTTAATTTTGAAAATAATCATCAGTCTTCTACCAGGAAGAATCTACTGTTAGGGAAATTTAATATTTTACCTTTCGATCACAGACTATCCCTAGAATATCGGCTAAGGTTAATTCTGATTTAGTTTCTTAGGAGTACTTTTTTTTTCTTGTTTGTCTGAATAACTAACTCTATCTTTCTAAGCAGAATATTTTGTTTTCAGAAAAATAAGAATTAATCTACTATTTTGAATTACTGCTCATTTGTCTATCTAATGAAATTTTAGATTTACTATCAAAAATCCTTTTTAATTTAAGTATGAAAAAAAAAAATTCACATTATTTTATTTATTCTCCTATCTATGTTTTTTAATTAAACGGTAGTTTAAAGAAATGATAATTATATAATTATCTTTGAATTACATCTACATCCCCTTACGATTGTGATATTTTCTAATGCTATCTCACTGATACTTTTTAAAAGAAATTATCAAAAGAATTATGATGTATAATGTAAATTGAATCATTCTTATTGATATATATAAATGTTTATTATTATTCCATCATTGACTATTGTCTTATCTTATGCATTTATTCTGCCGTATTTTTAAATGATATTCCTCTTTCCAATGTTTCATCTTCCCTGAAATGTCTTACTACAGGAGGAATCAGTTGCTTAAAAATAAACTCTCTATTTTTTAATTCTTTAAATTCTTTATTTAATTCAAAACTAATTATTGAGCATCATAGCTGAATACTTTGTTCATAAGGTATTCTTTAGAGTGGTGAGGGCAATATCCAAAGCTACTTTGAAATATTTATGCGAATACACTAATGATTACGTTCCTCATGTATTCAGATATAAAAAGGTTCTAAAATTTTGATTTTTATTAAATTTTGTATATGCATGATTTCTTACCTTATTTCATTACTATGAATCTCTATATGAACTCTATAATAGTTCAGATTTAGATTAAACAGAATCAAATCTTTTATTTTAAATAGAAAATTAATATTATAATTTACTTCCAAATTTTCAATAATGTTTAACTTTATTATTATTGAACTGATAAATAAATCTTTTACAAGAGATTATGGAAAAAGTATCTATTTCAAGAATAAGAGTCGATTTAAGAGAAAAAGGAAATTATATAATAATCGCTGATGAATTATTCAAAAATAAGTATTGATTTTAAAGCACCAATTTACGTTCTTAATTTAAAAATACCCTTAGTAAGTAGAATTTTATTATTTATTGTTGATCTATTTAACAAATACTTTTTTTTGTAATATAAATCTAAATGACAGAAAAATACAGTAAAAGGTACATTGTTACATAGGGCAATCGATTTAAAGAAATAGGAAATTAATCTTCCCTTATTTATCTAATATGGATAAGAAACAATAAGTTGAGAACTAAAAAGATGGGAATAGGAATAATGTGATAAAGCCGACCAGATAAAATGAATATCAATTTAATGTAATTTAGATGAGAAATTTTAAGGATTATTGAACTCTATTATTGCAAATTGAAGCCTTATTAGAGAAAAATTTAGAAAATCATAAAACCCAAGTTGTCTGAAATGCAGATTAACTGCTGAATGGATATCCTAAATTGAAATGGTTAAAGAACTTCTCATTTTCAAAAAAATGATCAGAATTTTAAAGATTATAGATACAATAATAACATATCGAATTATAAAGAAAATAAATATTAACAAAATTCAAATTGGAATCAAATTCTTTAATTAATCTAAAATTTATAATTTATCAGATAAACAATAAAGTTAAATCCTTTAGATATTGTTTATTTATTAATATCATTTATTCTTAAGAAGAATAAGTACCCAATTAACACTCCAATCTATCCAGGACTCTTTGACAGAATTAATGACCTAATTTTTCTTCTACGAACCTTAATTGTGAGCTACACTTTATCAAAATCCTTTTGGTGTCAAGATTCTTATTTCTTTATTTTTATTTTGAGGATAAGATTATAGAGAATAATTTAGGAATTTATATTTAGTCATAATTGTTATCTTTCATTTGCCCAGACAATAGTTAACTTACTTTCCTTTCTATTTGACTCACTTTTTGGCGTACCAAGGTTTTTCTTTGAACTTTGTCAATAAAGAATATTTAAAATCAAATTAAATTATAATGAAAGTATGAGTGTAGGAATGATAAAAGCCAAAGTTTCTCTGAACATCTAAAATATATAAAGGGTAAGGTACAAAAAAGAAGACTAAAAGTATTTTTCGATTAAATTATTTTATCTAAAACTAGCCAAAGTAATTTTTTAAAGATTATATTAAATTTAAATCTATTTCATTAAAACAAATCCTTTGAGATTTAGCCCAAATTATAAGATTACTCTAAAACTACAGTTTACTAATAGTATTACTAACATAATCGAAAAATGTATAAGAAAATCGTTCATCTCCTATTATTTGCAAATTTACTAAGATTTTTATCTGAATATGATGAATAGTGGGCACTGAGAACAATTTTAAGACTATTTTAGAAATGTAATTTAAATTAAATCCAAAGTAATGACAAAGTAGAGTTAACTTGTAGATGTAATAAATATTGTGAAATCCTACTTCAAGCATCTACAAAGTTTTTAAGTGTTAAAATGAAATATAAATATTTCTTAAATAAATGCACTTTAGAAATTTGGACATGCTCTTTATAATTTATCTCTATAGCTACTTTGTTAAATCCTAGTAAAAAAGGTCTGAGATTGAATAAAATCATTTAAATCCTCCAAGTAATTTGATATAAAAAGGTAATTCTAATAAATTTAAAGAAAAAAAAATTCAAGGTAAACTTACTTTATTATAATTTTAAATTCATTAAACTATTTCCCTTTTACTTACAAGGATAAAAGTATTAAGCTTATCTGTAGAATTTTAGAAATACTCTCCTAATTCAATTTAGCATTAACTTTAACAATCCATGAAGTATTAATGTTTAGTAATTAAATTCTCTTCATTTATTTATTCAGTATTCTCAACCCTGTAATCATTCTTAGAATGAGATGTTTTATAAGATAATCAAAGCAAATATAGATTCAAAAGGATAGCTGTCTTTATTAGCTAGTTTCTCATTATCTTGGTTTTGATGACACCTAATCTCATCACAAGTGTTTTTAATTTAATGAATTATGTAATTATCTATTTTAGAATAAAAATGCAGTCAAAATTAAATAAAAATTGCAATAGTCTTTGATACAAAATCAAATAAGTAGTTTTAGAGCCATTTTTATTTGGAAGGATAATAATTTATAGATTAATAGCCAGATGTATGATAAAATATGGAACTCAATCCTGTGTTTTATTTATTGCACTTTCTTTCAGTGCATAGTAGTTTAAAAGAAATAATTGAAAATAAAATATTCAAAATTTTATTTTTAACTTCCATTTTATTGAAATTTTACTTAAGTAATAGAAGACCATTTATCAATAATATAAATTATATATTAACTCTTAGATTAAATTCAATATATTTATGCGCTCTACATTTTTACTGAACATCTATTTTTATATTTATTATTTTATGTTTATTTTAAAATTTAAATATTATATTATATAATTTTCACTGAAATAGCAAAATTTACAATTTTCAATCATTTATTAGATTCCTTATCATAAACTAATTGAATTTCAGAATCATAAAAAATAAATCTCTGTAAACGATTATTATAGCATTATTGCATTTTATTAATTTCAAATTAGAGTTTTAGTTTTTTAAAATGTTCATAGGCTTTTATTAAATGATTTATCTTGTCAATTATTAAACTTGACGCTAAAATAATAGAAGATAAACCAATATGTATCCATCCGCATAATAGGACTAGTTCATTGCTTAGTTAGAAACCATATATTAGAAATGATCCTGTAATAATCAAAAGAAATCTCTCCTTAAATAATAGCTTAATGAAATCATATTAACATCTCAGGGGAGTATACTTAATTAAGTAAATCAAATAAATCGCTGAAGACATTGAGAGTAATATTGACTATAATTCTGGGTAATTCATAAAGGCTACAATCTTTAAAATATAAATGTCACTCTATATATTTAAAATGTTTTATAATTTTTGACCAACATCCATTCATATTTTAATTGAAGAAATATTTCCATTTCCTTATATCTTTAATCTACCTGCCGCTTATTGACAAAAGTTTGATAGTAGAGAAAAAAATAAATAATAGCACAATGATGGCATAGATACTATTAAATATGTCAAATGCTGAATAAAATGTGTAATGTGGAAACTATAGAAGAGCACTAAATAGTTATTAATGAAGAATTGAATAGTACATTTAAAAGATCCTTAAGGATAAATACTTAATTTTCAAAAGAAGGGATTTTATAATAATTTTCTATTAAATAAACCTATAAAATCTTAAGTATTTACTATTTTCCCAAAATCTTGTTACAAAACACTTCAACAAATAAAGTATTCTTGAACTAGTGATAATACAAAATACACAATATGAAAAAAGAGATAGCGAAATAGAAAAATAACAACTTTTGGAATTCATTAAGAAATATGTATTCAACTCACTATATACATTTTTTTTTAAAGGCAAAGTACGATACCACCATTTAGTTTTGATAGGAAGTAATCAATCTTTAGAAAATCTAGAATTGGTGCTAGTGATATTTAGTATAAGTATCCAGACATTATTTCAAATGATATGGGAACTAGTATTGCATATATCTTATTATATGTGTGACATGATATACAATTATCTTAGCATAGTTATACACATTCACTACAATAACTATCATCATCATTATCGAATTATTCTATTGATAATATTGCTAACAGATTGTCATTACAAACTTATTAGCACTGATTACCAATTAACTACCATCCATCTTAACATTAAAAGCATAATTAATTAACACATAATCTAAATTCTATTTGGCAACTATTGTTGCACTTATAACAACCATCAAATTGTTCAATATTGCCATCATTGCATACTTCATGATCTAGAGTCAATGCATCTCCGCAAACAGGATGAAAATATTAAGATTTTTGATCGTAACCAAAAAAACATTAAACGCATCTTCCAAATTCACATATTTTGCAATTTTTGTCACACTAGAATTTGCAGTTGAAGCAACCATCAAAAGGAATTAAGTTCCCGTCGTCACATTCTTCAGTTCCATAAATTAAATTATCTCCACAAATTGGTTAACATTGATTACTTAAAACTAAAAAATCCCATCCCTCTAAACAATTTAAACATTTGCCATCGATAAAATGATCTATTTGAAGTCAAAATATATTCATTTTTTTTATAGTAAAATTAAGCTTGAATAATGATTGCCTTTTAAAAAATACATAATAATTTATTATAATAACCTACTAATTCTTTTCTTATATAATCTTATGATTTATCAATTTTAATAACTACAATCTTTAATTTGAATTCAAAAGTTTTAAATGGCCTAATATGCAGGTTTACTTAATAATTAATACAACGTTTTGCAGTAGAATAGAGCAAATGATAATTGACGAAATGCTAATTATCATAACATTACTTATAATCCTTGTCAGTTCCATTTTTTATTTCTTATTTAGTTTGTTCTAAATTATAATTAATGAGAAAACCTTATAGTAAGAATTTTTAATTAGACAAAAAAATAACTTAAATATAGTAGCTTTTATAATTTGTGTTGAGCTCTCAAATTTCACATAGTGCTTGAAGAATTTGAAAAATTTTCGAAAAACTAATTTAAATCTTAATACAAGAGAAATAACCAATAATATTGGCTATTTTCAAGAATACAATAGACTTAATGAAATGAAAATGACTGTATTTTATATATTTGTATGTGATAATATTATCAAATCTTGGCAAAGTCATCAAATATTTCCTCTAAACTACTATGCATTACAAAAAAGTGTATTAAATGAAACATAGGATTGAAATCCCTGTTTTTGAGGCTAGATGCTATAAGTCTATAAATAATTATTCTTCCATAGATTGTAAATGGCTCAATAAGAATTTGTGAAATTAAAATATTCCCTAAAAATATTACGGTAACTATATATGGTTCTGAATGCATTTTTATTCTAAAATAGTATGATATATACTTCAATAAATAGAAAGTGTGTATGATAATATTGGGGGACATCAAAAATAAGATTAAAAGAAGTTAACTAACAACAGCAGCAAGTCTTCTGAATCTATATATTGCTTCTAGTATCTTAAAAAGCATTCTCATTAGCAAATTTATAAAAGGATTTACTGTAATGAAAATACAAATGAGAAGAATTGAATTACTCAAAAAATAACATTCAATCATTGCATAAGTCAAGAGTAGATTGAATTCAGAGAGAACTTCTAAAATCCTATAACTAAATTTAATAAATTTGTCTCTATAATAAAATCACTATATTATTTGATGGATTTACTAAATAATAATTTATTGATACTTAAAATTTTTCCTTGAACACGTTTGTACAACCCTGAAACATATAATTATTTTTATCTTAAACATTTTATGAATTCAAGCTACTTTATTCAGTTTCAGTTCTATCCTACTCATCTTTGTAATCTTTTTTGAGTTGAAAAATATAAATTGCTAGAAATATTACTGATAATGATCCAACACCAATTCTTAAAGCTAATACATCCTTATATGTGAAAGCAAAATTAATATCCGATATTTCTTCATGATCATTGCTATTTAATTTATTAAATTTTGTCGATGTGATCAAGAAAATATCACCAAATTTATTACATTCACAAGTTAGCTCAATGGTATTTTTCTTTTATAATTCACTCAAATCACAATATGAAAACATTCCAGAGATGGTTTTTACTGCGCACATAATTTCTTATTCCGATAATAATTCAGTATTATTTTAGCAAATCTAATAGGATCCAAATTTTGTGCCATAAATTGAGGAAAAATTTTCATATTATAAATATCTATTATGTTAGGCATTTTTCAAATTTATTAGGTAATAGTGTTCTGGGTATACTTATATCGTTTAGTCATTCAATTAAGTTTAGATATATTTCAAATCGTTAATAAATCTTAAAGGATTTGTTTTAAAGTAAGTGGATTCATATTGAATAAAATCAATTAGAAAATCTTCTGGTATTGATTCTAATTTAAATTATTAGTTAAATTTTGCCTTTGTTGTTCTTTTAATCTACCAAGCAATCTCCTTTCCAATAATAATTAATGGCTATTCATTTACAACTAGCATATTTTATGTTTCTTCAGCAATCTAAGGTATAAATCTTAATAATTCATTTACTGCTTGATTAATAGTTTCATTTTTTAAGTTAATTGAAGACAGGTAAGAATAGACATCATCAAGATAGTATAATAAAGTTATTAGTAAATATTGTTAGTTTTCATACTTTTAAAAGGTTTCTTCATCCCAAATATACTAATTTAATTTAAGTTCGTCGTCAAATTAATTTTTCATTTTAATATAGTATTTTAGTGCTAAATCTAATTTATGAATATTATTCTTTAATTCTTCTAAAATTAGAGTTAAATTAACCTCAGATTGGGTTGAATTTGATGTAATGTATAAATGGTTTGAGTTAAGACCTAAACAACTTGTTTGGATTGTTTCCTTTAATAAGCGATTATCAGGTTCTTTTTATAAGACTAAAAGCTGTTTATATAATTTAACTGCCTAAAATTTCAGGGTGTTCTCGTCATTATCTTGTAAGATTAAATTTGATAGCAAATCAAGATAAATTTATGAATGCAACCAATCACATTTTTGATTCAGTGTTTCAAATAACAATAATATCTTGTTTTATAAATTCAAATTCTAGAATTAGAGCAATGTGCAATTTATTGCTGCAGACTTCATTATAATCTTTTCAAAAATATTAGTTACTGATCCTCCATTATCAAGAACTTATACCAAAATTCCAATTTTTGATTAGTTCATAGAAGAAGGAGTTTAAATTGAGAATTAATTTGAATCTTAAAATGGAAAAAAAGTTAAGGAATTATCTGATATTCCTTTTAAAAATTCAGTTAAATCTGATTCTCTCAAAAATAGCCTAAGTTAAAATTTATATGGAGAATCATTTGATAATTCACAAACAGCTGTTACTAGAAAATTTGTCAATGCTAAATCACTTGAACGAGTAATAATTAATTTTGAACATTTAGGAGGGAAATTGATAGACAGTTTTAAATTTTATAAGTTTGGCATAATATTATTTGTATATTATGCTGAAAATTTAAGATTGATATTATTACCAAACTTTAATTCTTTGATGTAATTAAATATCTTGAATTAATGTGATTGATATTTTGGTTGAAGTATTTCTATAATCTCGTAGTCATAAATAATTGCAATTGATAGTTCTAATAACTGAGATCTTTTTTCAAAAGGAATTAGAAATGTAAAATTTAATTTTTCATAATTATTGATTTTTCTCATTAAATAACCCTTATTGAATTCTAGTTCCTAAAATGGGAATTCATCGTCTAGATAAATAATAACTAAAGTAAACTTGGAAGTTTATTGAAATTTAGATGCAGTTACAGTCCATTCTTGAGTTGAAAAGGGAGAAATGGAATTCTTTCTTATGAATTGAAATGTCTCAGTTTTATTAACATTAATTGTTTGCTTTCTATCATCTTAACAATTATTATTCCGTAATAGATCCTTGCAAGCCACTTAAATGAGCAAATCTGGATCATTGTTCCATTTATAGGTGTAATCTAAATCTTGACAAAAAATTTAGAGGTTTAAATCTCTTTGAATATTCTAATATCCTTAATTATTGAACTAACAAAGCAATCCAGCCGATAATATACCAATAGTGAAATTTTATACTTAACTTTCAGATGTCTTTAAATTAGTTGCAGTGACTTGAAAGGTATAATTTGAATTTGGGCTTAAAGCATATTTTTAAATCATGGTATAGACCATTTAACAAGAATCAGATTAATATAAAGTATTTAATTTTGAGGATGATGATGATTTAGGATTTACATCAATATCATTAATATGGACCTAGTACTTAGGTTTATCTGTTGCATTTAATTCTTCCAAACTACCTACAGAAACACCAATTTTGATATTCTCATAAACAAAATAAGAAGGTTTTGCCTTTATATCAATTTAAGGAAGCTTTCCAGAATGAGTTTATATTTTAAATTCAGAGTAAGAATAAGTATGAATAAAATTTTAATATTCAATCTTAAATTTCACTGCTGCATTAGTAGGTAATGTAAACTTTGGTATGAATAAATGTATTTCTTATCTAAAATTAATTGAATCTAAGAATTAAGCAAGTTCAGAGTTAGCTTCATTTTACTGCAATTCATAAGTCCAAATGATATTATTTAGCTTTCGATTTCCATTATATTAAATTTATTTTAGATAAATTGAGTTATCCCCATTGGGATTGAGTTTATGAAGAGGTACATTAAACTCAATTCTTGGAGGAAGTAGATGGATTGGTGATTATAATTAAGTAAAGAAAAATTGTTATAAGGCAGTTTCGCAATCAAGATGAGAGATGGAGTTACTTTTAAATAGGATTTCATCACCAACATTGATGTTTGGGTTTTCTCCTAGTTAGATCAATAATTCCTAATTATCTTATGAGTTAATAAAGCAAGTAGGATTATAACCAAATGTTTACATAGATACTAATTCAAATAATTAATAACATTTATTATTTTCTAATTATGAAGTGAAGGATTTTGGATTTAAAGGAAAATCAAAATGAATTATTATATTACTAAGGTCATCTGATAAAAATGCGTTCACAATTGCTACTTGGCAAGCTAGTAATCTATTTGAATAATTTACTTGAACACCAAGGTGTAGTTTCATAAGAAATTGAGTTTGGGGGAGGAATACAATCATTTTCATCATTTAGCAATCTATTTCCAAAGCACGATTAACATCCGTTAACATTACATTCTAAACAAGTACTATCACATTTTTAACAATTTTCATTCAACTAGTCATCAAAATATCCAGTTTAACAAATACAAAAAGGCTCTTGAATTCGATTACCTCTACAAGTTTTGCAATTTAAAGGATCGAAGTGACAAGTAGCACACTAATGTGCACATTCTATAAGGAAATTATAATCATTTGATACGTTGGCAAATAATTTATCCAATTTCAAAATATCCATCTATGCATTTGCAATCCTTATCAATTCTTCCTGGTTTGCAAGTCAAAGAATTTGAGGGCTCAAATTCACAAGTATTGCATTAAGTAGAACAAACTTTTTAAGAAGTAAAATTTACTTTAACAAGTGAATTACTCATCTTCATAATACCCATCTATGCAATTGCACGTTGGTGGATTAGTTCGCAATTTATTTTAGCAAATTTGGCAATTATTCGCTGAAAGGACACATGTTTTACAATTGAAGTTACATTTTTAGCATTAAATTTATGTTCCATCATCAAAATAACCTTCTTTACAATCACATTAACCAGATAGAGGTTTGCGATTTGCATTTAATGCGAAATTACAACTTAAACATTTATCACTCTAGTTTACACAAGATTAACATTTAATATGACATTCTATTATCATATTTAGATTTACTTTAACAAATGTATTCCTAGTCTTGATAAAATCCACTAATACAAGGACATTTGTGGATAATTGATTGATCAATTCTCTTAGCATCAATATCACAACTTGTACATAGATTAGCTGAACCTTTGCAGGTTAAACATTCACTTGAGCATTCTATTTTATCATATAAATCTATTACTTGAGCAGATCTCTGTATTTTATTCAAAATATCCAGGTTTGCATAAACATTTATTATCCTAATACAACCGATTTTGTTCAACTTCAAAGCATTTTAAACAATTTGAGGGGGAAAATTAACATGTTTTGCAAAGATTATTGCACTTATAACACGTTTCGATTCCTGCTTCATAATAGCCATCGATGCACAAACACTTATTTGCTGTTAACTATCTTTTAAATTCACTTGTGCAAGTTATACAATTTGTATTTGTATTTTCACAAGTCTAACATGTTAAATCGCATTCTAATAACAATTAAATACATTATTACAAGCACAGTTTTATTAATTTTGTTCATAAAATCCACTTTTACATAAACACTATTTTGATTCTTCATCAAAATATCTGGTTGTTAATCGACAAGATACGCATTAACTACTATTTTAGCATTCTAAACAAGTGATACTACACTCTATTGGTTATAATTGAATTATTACATAGACATGAATTAGATTATGCATCAAAATAATAAGATTATTAACATAGACATCTATTATTAACTAAAAATAAATTAAGACTAGTATTGCAAGTTAAGCAATTATCATATATTAAAGAACAAGTTAAACAGGAACTTGCACATTGTTCACAATTCTGATTAATTGGATTTTCGTAATATCCTTATATGCATTCACAGGTATTTCCAGTTTTAAATTGTCTAAAATTAGCTATTGAGCAAGTTAAACAGTAATCGCTTTAATTAACACAGGTTAAACATATCTTACTACATAATTTACATTATTTATCATCGTTTGATTCATACATTCCATTAATACAAATACAATCTTTATCTTTCAAGTAGCGATATTTAACGCAAGAAGTACATTCATTAATGACTTAAGAGCACGTCTCACACTTTTGGTTACATTATTAGCAAGTTCCATCAACTTCAATAAATCCTACTAAACAATCACAGGTTCTTGTTTTTAAGTTAATTTCTCTAAATTAAATAGAATCGCATGAGGTACAGTTCTTTGCTGTGTTTAAACAGGTCATGCAATTTGAATTACATTCTAAGCAATACTATGCCCCAACTTCATAGTAACCCTATTGACATTTACAATTAGTTTCTATTTTTCTTGTTTAGGGACATGATAAGCAGATATAAGATTGTTGAATACAATTTAAACACTAAATATCACATTTTTAACATGATATTGATTAACCATCGTCAAAATATCCAAATAAGCATTTACATGTCTAATTATAAAAGACTCTATTTGATGTATCAACTTCTACACAGGAAATACAGGAATTAGAATCTTAAGAATTACAACTTAAACATGAATAATGACATTATTAACAAGTTTCAACTCCATTATCATAATATCCAATATTGCAATTACAAGAAAAAAATAGTTCATCGTAGGTTCTATTTGAGTCCTTTGAGCATAATTCACATTTAGTATCAATATCATTACATCTAAGACATGAATAATGGCATTCTAATAAAAATGAGGAATCAATAAATACTCTAACAAACTTCATTTTATCCATCTTCAAAATATCTTTCCATGCATAAACATTTATTAAAACCTGAAATATGGTATCTTAAGCTGTTGCAATTCGTCAAGGAAATCTTTTAGTGTAGACTTTAAACTTTTGGTTTTATTAACTAAACTTTTAATTTTCTGTATCTTGACAAGAAATACAACTATCAGCGTTCTGAGAACATTCTTTACATTTATAACTACATTCTATTTAGTTATAACCCATTAATACTTTGACAAATAGGCAATCCTGCATCGAAATATCCTCCCTTACAGACACATGTATTTCCTATTTAGAATCTGTTCTCAGTATCAATACAAGTGATGCAATCCTATTCAGATATTCCTTTACATGTTCCACATGAATAGTGACATTCTATGTATTGATTGAATTATACTTTCGCATTTAATCATTCCATTATATTCAAACATACTTATTGTAGCTCCTTATTACTTAGTAATGCAGTTGCAAGTATTTCCAACCAAATATCTATCACTATAACACGATGTACAATTTGAGGAATCCTATGTACATTCATAACAGAATGCCCTACAAGCTAATTTTAGATTGAATAGTTACTTCCACATTCTGAAAACTCTATCTCAAAGTAATGTGGTTAGCATAAACAGGAACTAGTTTAAAGTTCTCTATAGGCAGAAGAATCACAGGAGAGACATTCTGTTTAATCCTTACCATAACATGTTTTGCATTTGAAATGACATTCTCTAATTTATATTAAATCTACTTTAACAATTTATTTCATCTTCCTTATCAAAGTATTCTGATGGGCAAGGACATCCTTTAATAGGATCAAAAGCACGTTTCGAATTTAATGGACAGCTCAAACATTAGTCTGGTTTATTATCACATTTTTCACATTTATATGAACATTCTTAGCAAGCAATATTTAAGATATTTACTTTAACATTAAGAAATTCCAGGCTCTTCATAATATCCATCAATACATTTGCAAATATTACCTTTTATTATTCTAAAACTAAGCTCCTATGAACAAACAATACAGCTATCTGCCTTCTCATCAAAGCATTTGTAACAAGAATAGTGGCATTCTTTTTATTTATTTATGCTTACTTGCGCATTCTAATTATCCTATATCATAATATTCAGGAGGACAAACACATGATGATAATTCTGACTATCTATATAGTTTATCGCATGTTAAACAATTTGAAGAAAGTGAACCATAACAAGTTTGACAAGTTTGATCGCATTATTGGCATTCTAGTGAGCTTCCGTCATCAAAAGTATTTGGTGCAGTACAAACACATTCAAAGTAACTACCTGATAAGACAGATGTCCTGCTTGAAGGACATTCTAAACATGCATCCTTTTCTATACTGTTTGCACATGTAACACATGAATTATGACACCCTATTAAATAAAAATAATTTCATACTTTAGCATACTATATTTCCTGTATTATCATCATAATATGATTATTTACATAAGCATTCTCCTAAAGTTGTTAGTTCTCTACTAGAACTTATTGAGCATTGTATACAATTTGTGGCTTCAACACCATTGCAAGCTCCACATGTATAATGGCAAACTAAGATTAATTATATAAAAATACGTGCACAAACTTCCAAAACACCAAAATCTCCGTAATTTTCTTTGCAATCACAATTAAAATTGTCTGAAACCTCACGATTTTGCCCAGGAATACATGTGAGGCAATATTGATTATCAGTATCGTCAGCAGCTTGAAAACAAGTTTCACATTTTGGATGACATTCTAAAATTAATGTCATCTAATACTTCCACATTATGCTTCCCTAATTGCAAATTCGCCATAACCAGATTTGCAAGGACATAAATTGGCAACTTGAATTCTGTTTGAAATACTTTCCTCTATACATTCAGTACAATCTGCATATGATGGACCATTACATTTTTGACATGTTATATCACAAACTAAAATTAATTTAGCAAATCTACCAATACATTTTTGATCAAAATTTTCAGGATCAAATGAATTAGGTTAACAAACACATTCCTTATTAACTACTATTCTATTTGATGCTGGTTTACATGAAATACAGGAATAAAAATCATCGGGTTAGCAATCAAAACAAAAGCCAGTGGAGCAAGGCTCGCATATTTATTATAACAAGCCATATTTTGGTTTACATACGCAGATACCATCTAATGCAATTTTATCTTCTCCAGCAATGCAAGAAGTACAATAATTTGGATTTGTGTCCAAGCAGGTCTAACAAATTGAACTACAGTATCCTTGTAAATATAAGCATGTGCCATTTGATTGTAATGCATAGGATGGCAAACAAGCTATGCAATTAATTCCTTATGAATCCAATAATATACAATATTTTATTTAAAAGTTTTATGCAATTCCTAGACAATATTTTATGTAAATATTACTTTTACATTTTTTAGCCTTTTAGTCATAAAAGAATCCTGGATCGCATAAAGTACATGTTGTAAAGTAATATATATAACCATATTTTTGATAATCAACTTACAACGATTAACTCGAGAAGCCACAATCCCAATCCAATTAATAACAGCGATAAATTTCTTTTGATGTAAACGCTTTTTTTTGAAGATAGCCTGGGAAGCAATAAGTGCAATTGAATTCGGAATTCGTAAGCTTGGCTTATAGACAAGGATAAATACCTAAATAATAATAATAATCTAATTACGAATGCATTGATTATTATAATAATGATATCCTTAGACACAAGCGGTTGAATATCTTATAGCTTAATTCGTACCTATGGGTTCACAAAATTAATAAGGCCAACAACCTAGGTTATAATGATAGATTACTAAAACCACAATTAGTAGAATTATAAGCAACATAGCCTTCAAGACAATTTATACAACTTCCATCCTAATGACATGATCGACAACCATAATAATCGCACTCTTTAATAAATATATTATTTACATATTGGAGGCATAGCACTATAATCATATCTACCAGTCACTAACTAGCAACCTTGTCCTTCTCCATAATGTGGATATTTACAAACTTAGCATTTATATGATCCATTCTAAAAAGACATTATCAAACAGAACACATTTATATCATCATAGAAATCTAATGTATAAATTTACTTACTTTAGCAATAAAATTTATAATGTCCATCAGAAAGCAACTCCATCACCAATGTTTAAGCATAATTCTAGAATCCACAGGAAAAAAAATATTGCACTTAAGCTAGATTCCAATACAATCCTTTTTGGTAAGGTTAGAATCTAGGATGGCATAAATGCTATGTACCATTTGCCTCAATTCTTACTTATATTTCTGTTACACCCTTGCAAATCAAGGCGTAAGCTATTATAGTGCAAATATTTACAAACACATTCATGTGGATGCATATCAAGCATTTATGTATGCAATTCAGGACATTTACGAGCAAAAGTTCCAAAGGTTAAATACCAAGAATAATAATCTCTCCACCCAACTACTTGTGTGATAAGTCGAAATACAACTAACCACATAATCATGTTTATTTATTTTATCATACTTCATAATAATCAAATTATTTATCTAGTTGGGAAGTTTAGTCTAAAAGTTAAAAATAATATCAATTTTTTGAATATTTTATATTATTTCTACATAATTTCTCTTGCTAAACTTCTATTTGTGATAAGATACAGGAGTGGGAAGTTGATTACTTAGTAATAACGAATCGCTAGTTATTGCCTAAAGCGATCTGTATCATGTAGAATGTTTCAGAATTGTTAGGTAACGTCTAGTGCCATTTATAAATAAATGAATATTTGTTTTTATTTAGGGATAATATCTATTAACCATTTGTAATAGATTTAGAAAGATCTTTTAGGTTGTAATCTCTTCCTCTGTTTTTAGTCCTTCAAAGCTATTATCAGAATGGTGAAAGTTGAAAAAGGAAATTGTTATATAAATTATCATAAGTTTTTATGGGCTAATAATTTTCCATTTAGAAAGGCTTTCGAGGTCAAATATTTGAATTGCTAATGAATCACTGAAGAAGAATATTATTGAATTGATATTAAATTTGAGCTTACACAAATAATGAAGTAAAATAATATATTGGCTTAATCAAACTATTAATAATGGGTTAAGCTTTAGAAAAAGATTGTAATTGTTTTTATGCATTTATATGTAGAGGTAAGATGAGTAAGTTAATCTAGGTGTGTATTATATGAATGAACAACTAAATGATTCTGCATTTAATAATTTCGATTAAAGTTATTAAATTAATCCAAAATATAGGTTTACATTAATAGAGGTGACTACTACCTTGCTTATTATATTAGGCAATTTATATTCTGGTATCGGTGAGAAAGACAAGGCATCAATTAATTATTTACAACGATTATCAATATAGCCTAATAGCCCATTAATGTTATGCAATTTAGCAGATTATTATTATTTACCTCGAAATATTAATTTTTTAGAAAATAAGGTTGATTTGCTTAAGTGATTGGAATAAGATTATAGTTATATAAAATAGTCATTTAAAATTTCTAATTGAAAACTAATAATAATAATTAAATAAACTAAAATATAACACAGCCTTAGAATCAATTTAAAACAGAATATATCCAATTCTATCAACCACAATGACTGAATCAGTGAAACCTGAAATGTAATAATTTGAAATTGAATTACTGGCTTAAATATTATAAATGGTTAACAATTAAAATAAGAATTACTAGAATCTAATATAAAAATAAATTAATTAGAGGACAATGTAATATTTTTGATTCAGTAAGATTGAATTATTATTAAACAATCTTAATAAACCAGAAAACTAGTATTAAAAATCTTACTACCTATTTTTATTTTGGAGGCTTTTGAATTGCTTACAACAATGTAAGAAATCTCGACAGATTTATTTTAAATGAACCTAAATGCAGTATTTGAAACTAACTCAGAGAATATCTTTAATATAGTTCAAAAAAATTTTAAAATTGGCTCAGCAGCACTTTCTAAATTACCTATTATTGGAGATCTTTTTAAATTTCAAATGCCTCCCTTGATTATGGAATTGATGAAAAGAATTTGAATAAATTTAAAAACAGAGTAAGAAGTCTTAATGAAATACTAATAATTTTTGTTGTAAACCCATAAAATTAGAAATTGAAGTGCAAATGGTAGCGATAGCTATGGAAAAAATAACAATAGGTTGATGGTAAATAAAGAAAAAAACAATTTTTAATGAAAGAGTTGACGATTTATTTGCAAACGAAAGCGGTTCTTAAGATTTATTTAAGGATATATTTGATTTGCGGGACTGAAGATGCATTTATCATATTAAGCTATTTAGAAAGAAACTAAGAAAAGATATTAAAGGAATAGAAGAAAAAGCTAAGGGAGATATTTGAAGATGGAGTTAGGCAATATTCGTATACCTCCCGTGAAGTGCAGGAGGAGGATCAAGAATGTTCCTCAATATGCTAAATGATTTGATATCAGTTATATCAGTCAGTCAATTAATATAAGACAAAAATCAATGCTAAAAAATTCAGAAATTTTGTTATAAATTTAATATATAATTTAAATTAAATAAAATAGTCCTAATTTGAAAGAAAGTTGAATATATTAAAACAAGTCTCATTGTGAATTAGTTGAGAAGATCTTCGAAAGATTTATTTAAAGTTTTTTGATTTGATGCTGCATCTTTTATAAATATTGAGGAAGTAATTTGTGTACCCTATCTGCAATTTTGTTTTATATGCATAAAGATCACTTTAATAATTAATTTATGATATATTAAAAATTTAATATATTTTTAGCAGTTTCCAACTTCAGATTGTCTATGATCTGCTTTACTTCAATATTTTGGATAGGGATAATGACTTTATTCAATTAATTATGTATTTCTTATTTTTGGGGGGAGTATTCATAATGCTAAATCTATTTCAAAAGTATTATTTATTCTTTATTTAATTGCTCATCTATTTAGTTTTGGAGACATAATAATTGGATGACTCGTAATCCAGTTTAAGCTTCTTAATAAATGCTCACACTTTTAGTAGCTTAGAGATCAGCTATACTCAATTCCTTAATAATTGTTTTATATGATTATTGATACCTTAAATAATTGGATAACATAATTCAATTCTATGCTAAAGTATGATGTATAAACTTTTAGTGTGTTGTTCAAAAATTTAAATACTAATGAACTATTTCAAAGTAGATTCTCAATTATCTAATCAGACCGTATTTTAATATTTAGATGTATACTTTCTAGATTAAGACAAGGTTGGCAAGCAAGTATTGTGAAATTTTTAGTTCATCTATCGTCTACTTAAAAAGGCTGATCCAAAAATTAATCTTAAAAAAAATTTTCTTTTTTGAATTTTGAATCGCAATCCTATGTAAATCAATATGTTTTTTTCATTAAACTTTTGGAATATCTAATTGTTCTTCAGGTTAACTAATACAAGATTTATCTCCTGATCCAAATCCATTTCCAACCACAAAAGGAGCTTTCATTACTATTTTGGCAAATGAACTATTTCAAAACTAGATATGGATTCAGTCTTCCCAGCAAATTTTATATATCTCTATTCCAGATTCTGATCTATTGACCTCATTTTGGGTTTGGGGTTTGGGGTTTGGGTTTGGGGTGGGGTTTGGGTTTGGGTTTGGG